CCGCCTCTTGCAGCAGGGGGGACCTGGAAAGGCGGGCGGGGGGGGGGGGGGGGGCGAGGGCGGGGGGGGGGGCTTGCCATCCCCCCTGAGCGCTGCCTCAGCTCCTCAGCAGCGAAGAGCTGCCATTGTAACGTGCTCTGCGCAAAGTGCTCTCTGCAGAGGTGAAAACAGGCAAGTGTCTTCTTGTGCGTCTTATCATTTAGGTCATTAAAAAAAAAGATGTAAGTGAAAACGAGAAAAGAGACAGTTCTTTGGCAGAGCCAGAGCGGCGTGACTATTTTCAACCCCTGTGTTCTGAAACAGCACTGGGGCCTTCGGTTCAGCTCTTTCAGAAAGCAGGAAAAAAATCACACGTGTGGGCTTGATAGGTGGTTTTGCCAAATTCCAGACCAGAGTTGAATTCAACATGCCACAGCACTTCAAAAAGTTTACTTTCTGGTAAGCAGAATGAGAAGCTAGAAAAAGCAGCCTACCACCACGGTTTGATTTCCCCAGGAGTCGCCCTCTTGCACCCCCTGGACCATCTCCAGAATTTTCCATCACCTTTCAGCGCTTTGAGGTGCTTGTCACTGGGTTCTTTATCTTGACTTGTGGCCAGGAGAGGGCCGGGCTGGGAGGGGCCTCCCCCCTGTACTTGGTGCAGCTGGCAGCACCGGCTTCCCGCCTCGCCCACCACAGCCCCCTTCTGAGGCAGGCTCGCCAGTGGAGACCGCGCTGGGCTCCTCATTATTTCTACAACCTGAGTGCATTTGCAAATTAATTGACGAGTGGGAGGGAAGGCATCTGCTATTGTAAAAACCTCTAACTGCCACAGTAAAGCTCGGAACTGCGTGTTACTATAGTAAACTGGTGGTCCCCAGGTGACGCGCACTCAGCCGCGCGCCGGCCGTGCCGTCCCAGGCCCTGCTCCGCTTGGCACGACTGTTGTGCCCTGTGTAGTTTCCATTTCCATCAAAAGACCCAGGCAAATGAGTAGCCCCGCAGGATTTATAACAAAAGCTTTTGTCCTTTGCCTGGCTGTCCCGTGGGTCACTCGCTGGAGGCACCTCCTTTCAACTCCTTTGGCTCCCGTGGAGACTGGCCTCGCCGCCTGAACGCATGTGTAGGCTGCGTCTCAGCTCCTGCCTGCCGTGCCCGCCCCGCCCCTCTGTGGAAGACCCAGATTAAACGCTCATATTCCACCCTCTTCCCGCACGTTTGCTTCAGTGGGAACTTGGTTTTCATGTGAGTGTGAGGCTGAAGCAGCCCTCCCAGCTGAGCCGGGGCCTCCTGGCACCGGCTTTCCCTTTTGTGCAGGGTGGGTGGGGCTGTCTTGCACGCAGGTGCAGATTTGTCCGTTTCCATTTCCACGGTCCCAGGCTGTGCCTTTCCAGGTCAGCCTCTCCAGAACACACGGGGCTTCAGAGGGAACAAGCACCCAGTATTTAAAATGACTCACTTCAAGCCCCACTCCCTGCCACCCCCCAACCCGCCCCGCCCCCCGCCCCAGCTTCACCATGCCAGGGTTTGCCCTTCCTGTTGAGCTGGCTCTGACTGGTCCTCCCTGAGCAGGGAGTTCTCAGCGCACTTCTCTCTGCTCAGATCCTGCTGGCCCATTTGCTGCCTGACTTCTCGAATTCTGTTGCCCTTTCTGTGGTCTCTCCTGGGCTGTTCTCCTCAGACTCACCCCCTGAGTCTGCTCATTGGCTGCCACGTGGCAGTCTGGGAGGGTGCTGGGACGTGCTGCGGGTAGAGCTGTAGCTCTGTCTTGAAAAACACGTTTTATTTGAGCAGTTGTGAACCTGTACCCCTAAAACCTACAGTGTTGTAACCCAACATTTCCCTAATAAAAACAATTTTAAAATAAGATGGCAGCACCTTTGCTGTCACGGGCTTACTGCCTGTGCCTCCAGGGCCCCTCGCCATGGCATGAGCCCGGCTCGTGCAGGAGCGCGCAGGCTGGAGCAGGTGGCACCGTGCCCTGGCGCGCCCCCCCATGCCCCTGTGTGCTGGCGCTTGGCTGTGCAGCAGGATGGAGAGCTGAAAAGCCCCGAGTTCTTGAGAAGAAAAGCCTGACCTCCCTGCCCCCAGCCCCTTTTTACCTGCAAGCTGGTTTTACAGCCTCTTTCTCGGTAGAGATCTCTATTATTTGGCCGCGGCGAGCTTTTCTGGAGTGCGTTGTGAGGGCGAGAGAGCCCGTGGCGACGGCAGCGCTAAAAGCTGAACTTATCAAAGAAACAGTGACTCCATTAGAAGGAGAGCGAGTGCCCTCTCGCCGGGACCCGAGAGCCAGGCAGAGCTCTGGTGGGGGCAGCGTGATGCCACCCGAGACCGGGGGTGGCCCTCGTGCCAGTACGGGCAGCCTTTCCTGGGAGCGGCGGGGGAGCCCCTGGCTGGGCACTCGCTGAGCCGCCACTTGAACAGATACTGGTGGCCCCTTCAGCCCCCAGGTGTTGGAGCCCCAACCCCTAGTGGGTTTCATTAGGGGGTGGGACCTTGGGAAGGAAATCAGAATAGAGGAGGTGGGAGTGTCACACCCTTTGCAAACCAGGACTTAAGCCTCCAATTTAAGTTTCCTGCCTGTGGGGGATCCTGGCATTTTTCTGCGTGGAAAATAGACCATTTAAACCCACCTTTTGGACGCTGTGCCATCTGTAGCGGCCCGTGTATCTTACGTACCACTTTGGGACCATGCCTTTTTTCTCCTTTGGCAAGGGTAATGCAAAATGCAGCTCACAAGTCCATTTCATACCTTATTAAAACATCATTTCCCCTGCCTTGCGCCCAGATTTCTGTGCTTAATCATAGAGAGGCAGCTTGTTTAAATAGACATCATTCTTGTTTGGGGGCTCTGCTGCCTTGTCTTCCTCGCTACCTCCCTTCATATTTTGCAACCCTGCTTCACCGAGGCCGTTCTTATTAAATATCATAATCTGCTCATTGGGGAGTTATTTGTAAACTTAATTAACTCTCTGTCAGTGTTTGAGTTAATTTTCTCCCTTTAAGTTCAGCCTTCCCAGTCCTGGCTTCCCATACTCTGGCCTGTGTCTGCTAAAGACTTGGTAACTAGTTTTGAAATGCCAGTCGGTGATATATGGGTCTCTTTAACATTTCTGTGATTTATGTGCAGTGCTGTGGAAAAAGGCAAAGAAAGCAAATTATATGGCGAAAAATGTTGCCAATCTTCACTTTTTTACTCTTAGTTTTAAAAAGTATACATATCAATCAAATCTGATGGATTTTCTTTTTTATAAAGATTGAAAATTTAACTATTTGAAGACTTGCAATGCGTGTTCCACATTTGCTTAATCAAGTGTGGTTCACCCCAGAGCAGGGCGTAGGGATCTCAAAGCCCCCGCAGCCTCTGCTGCCCGCCCCGCCCGGCCCGCCGCTCCATGCCAGGGAGTGCAGCAGGCAGGTGGTATTGGGGGCTGGAGACGTGTTGCCTCCGTGCTCCAAACCCTGGAGCCCTGTGACGCGGGAACAAGAGTTGCCTCCTCATAGCCGATGGTGCCATGCCTGCAGCTTATCCTTGGTGGGTCCAGGGGGGAGACCTTGAATCCACGAATCAGCAGTAGTTTTGAGGTTGTGCTGTGACGGCATTCAGGTCTTAGCCGGCCTGAGAGCCGCCTGGGGTGCTTCCTACTGTGTTAAGGCTCGGGCTTCTCTTTGGAAATTCTGGTACAAGTGGATTTGAGGTGGGACCCTGCACCTCCATTGTTGGCGAGCACGCTGTGCGTGATTCTGAGGTAGACGACCTCGGCTGTGTCTTAAAGAAGGACTCGCAGGCCTTAGAGTCCTGTGATTGTGCCCTCCCCCACTAGTGCCTTCGGTGGTGCCCCTCCCTTCACCATCCACTGAGGTGCGCAGAGTAAGAAGTCCTCTCTCAGCTATGTGGAGCTTCACTTGTGTAGCAGGTGCAGGGGCACAGTGCCTGCAGGCCCCCCATTCAGGGGGCTCCGGCTGTGTCCCGAGCCCTGTTCTGGTGCTGGAGCTACCGTGTGCCTCAGGGAAGCCTGTTTTGGTGGCGCTCAGCTCCCGTGTGGTGCCGTGGGGATGGTGTATGTGAGCGGAGAGACAGTCTGTGTGAAGCCCCCAGGCAGGTTAAGTCTGCGCTCCAGGGACGGCACTGAGTAGGTGGTGGAGAGACTCGGGGGCCAGAACAGCCCCAAGAAGTTGAGACATGTGTGACAGGAAGCAGGCGAAGATAAGGTAAGGCGTGTTCCAGGCAAAGGGGACGGCCAGCTGGGGAGCCCTGAGATGGGATGAGTGGGTGTTCCAGGGAAGTGTGGGTGCAGGGAGGGAGAATTTTTTTTTTTAAAAGATTTATTTATTTATGCACACAAGAGCTGGGGTACAGGCCAGAGATGCAGGGGGTGAGAGGATCCACCAGAGACAGAGCTGGGAACAGAACAGGCAGATTGACTGAAATACACTACTGAGGGGAGCAGTGGGAGAGACGTGAGAGGTCTGCTGCGCCAAGTGGGTAGCTCCCTGGCCGGGGATTGAACTCGTGCTACAGTGGCTGCGGATAGCTTCACAGATTGCATCTTAACCCCTTGCGCCACCAGGGAGGCCCAGGGAGGGAGAATTGTGGTGAGGCACAGAGGAGGCAGGGCCAGCAGGGGCTGCGGTGCTCTGTGCTCCGGGCTGGCAGGGGCCACTCCCATCAGGTGGGTGCTGAGGTCCAGGGCTGCCAGCAGTTGCTGCTGTGCCAGCTGGCACTGGCTCGCTGCTGCCACCACTCTCCCCTGCACGAGGCACCGGCTTGCAGCACCTCATTAAAGCTTTTGGGGCCCGAATGCACTTTGGAATATTTTAGAATATTCTGGATTACTGAACGGTAGTGTGGTTCGCATGCTTCATAGGACCTGAGTCCTCCTCTGGCGGGGTCTGGGACTGGGCAGGTAACCCTCCATGTGTAGCAGAGTGCCTGTCACACTAAGGGAGGGGGACTAAGCTCTAGAAAGACTCACATCAGCTCCTGTCAGTTTTTGCTGCCGCCAGAGTTTTGGCGCCCACATTGATGAGAAAGCTTTTGACTTTCAGAACTTTTTATACATTTTTACCATTGTGAAAAAAAAAAATGACGGCTCTATACTGGCAGATTCTGGTCTCTCTTCCTCTGCTCCTTGGGTGTGAGACACCAGACGGCACCAAGTGGGTGGAAGGGTGTGTGTGCACAAATCTGCACACTCACACGCAGCCTGTGGGGCCTGGGTGGAAGAAGGGCAGGTCAAGGGCAGTCGTCTGAGGAGAGGGGAAGAGGCAGAGTCGGCCCTGCGTCGGAAGCCGGGAGCGTGGCTGGAGAACGGCCGTGGGCTGTCAGAGCTCTGACCCGATTTCCAAGGGAACCTGTTGAGGGCACAGCTCCCATGTTCTCCACTTCTGGTGGGGCCTCCCCGAGAGTCCTTTTACTGACAGATTCTGGTCTGCAGCCTGGAAAGGCCGAGCAGGGGAGGGGGGACAGTGGCTCCCCAGCAGCCTCACACTTTGCAGGGACTTACACATGAAGGTGAGCTCAAATCCTGCCACATTCTGGGGCTTAGTTTGGGTCTCCTCCTGTTGTTTCAGTGCAGATCTGTTTAAGAGTCATCAGTGCGGGGACCACATCAGGCGGCCACGTTCTAATCCAGGCCCCGCCGCTGACCCTCTGTGCCTCGCTTTCCTTATCTGGAAAAAAGAGATGGTGGCAGGTACCTCACTGGATGTGAGTATAGATTAATTGAATTAAGTGAATGAGAAAGACACCTGGTTCCCTGGGAGTCTTAGTGCCTTTGGCTCATGGTGCCGTCACTGGTTTATCACGCCAGGCAGTGTCCCAGACACAGCGCCGAGCAGAGCAGACTGCCCGTGGAGCTCTTGCCTGCTGTCCCAGAGCTCGCGTGCTGGGCAGATGTGATGACCTCAAAGCCAAGGACAGCCGCCCTGTGGGCACTGTGCTCAGTGGCCATCAGCACACCCCATACTCATCAAACGCCCATGTAGTCCCCTGCGGCAGGCCCGGGCGTTTGAGACAGTTCTGCTCTTTGGTGACATCTGGTTTAGAGAAAGCATAAAGATAGATACATGAACGTAACGTAATCATCAGCCTCACGGGAGTTTTCTGGAAAGGCCCCTGGGCTGACTAGAACAACTGTCAGCTCTTCTTGGCCCTCACACAAGTACTTGATGGCAGGGCAGCCTCTGAGTGTTGTGGATGAAGAAGAAACACTGCACGAGGCCCCATTCCAGTTCGTCTTTCCTGTCCCGAGGAAGGCTGCTTCCCACTCTGGGTTTTCCTCGGCTAGACGTGCCTCTCAACACTCCTTCTTGGGCCTTCCCAGCTGGCCGCTGCTGATCCCCACTTGGGTTGCTTGGCTTGTTCTTCACAGCAGAATTTGGAAAGCTTGCGTCATCAGCACAGCATCTCGGGAGTAAGGGACTTGCACATCACAGCCGCCCTGTTTGTTTCAGGAGCTCGGCTCTCCTACGGTCCAGCCCCATGCACACCCCTGTCCGACTGCCCAGAAACTGGCAGTTCTCTGCTGGCCCATCTCTTCTGAGGTTTTTTCATCAGAAGCAAGACCCATAGGCTCAGTGTCTGCCCCCCCCCGGCTCAGCCCTCCCGTAGCTCTGTGGGAGCCCGGCTGCTTTGGTCAGTGAGTCCTCACAGCTTCTCGAGGAGCCAAGGCGTGTGGAGCGGCAGAAGAGAGTCGAGCCTCCGGAAAGTGACTCACCTTGGCCAGCAGTTGGCTAAGTGGAGGGCCATGATTGGCACCCAGACAGTTGACTGCATGCCTGCACTGATAGATCAAAAATACTGGGTTGTCACAAAAGTCATGACGTATTTTTTCTGTTTTTCAAACAACGATGTATCATGACTTTTCCAACAACCCAATAGTAGGCATCGCGCCTCCGTTTTGGTGATCAGTAGAAAATTCTCTATGCTCTGTTGCTCATTTTAAACCAAAAACCCACCCACTCTTAATAGGTATGACTTTTGCTTTTGTTCTGCTAAAAAAACACAACTCTTGCAGCCTATAGTTATCATAGGAAAACCCCCCCACGTGGGCCGATGCCTGCGTGGCCTTTTCCCAGACTTCCTGGAAGATGAGCACAGTCAGAACATAAATCCAGAGACCCTCAGCCGTCCTGGCGAGAGAGAAACACGTGCTGTGCAGGTTGGGAGCCAGACTTTGATCTTCAGTGCCGAGGACCTTGCTGCTGTGTGACCCGGCTGTGGGGTGCATCGAGCTGGGCGGAGCCGCCCTTGCACACTCAGTATGTGTAGATGGAAGCGCTCCAGTCCCCCAGGATTTACTCCTGCGCCCGGATACTTGTCTGGACGGACCCGCCCGCCGGTTGTCTGGGTCTGTTGGAGCGCCACGCGGCCCACCCCGCTGCTTGCCGACGGATCCCCTCTGCGGTGGTATAGGGAGGCAGGGCTACGCTTGCAAGCAGCCTCTTCCACGGCACTTCCCGCTTTATTAGCCTGACACGTTTAGGGTGACACTGTTTGATTAAAAGGTCACTGGAATGGGTTTTGTGGAAATCCGCCATCCCGGCGCGCGTCTGGGCACGGCTGCTGCGGGGCCGCTGTCTTGGTTGGGTCGCAGCTGGCATGTGCTTAAAGCTTCGCAGGCATCTTAGCGCTGGTTCCTCCAACCCTTCTTCCGTGTCTTCCTCTGAAGGAGGCGGAGGGCCTCTCCCGGGGCCTGTGGCGGGAAGGAAAAGGCACTGTTTAAAGTCAGCTTAGGGGAGTGTGCTCGTGAACAACTTGGCCTTATAAACATTTTTCTGTTTTTATATTAGACTGATGATGAAGCAGGCTCAGAGGGGTGAAGAAACGCCCAGAAACACCAGAATTCTCATGGCTGAGCTGGGGTTGAGTGCAGGGCTGCGTGGCTTCAGGTTCATTCTCCCTCCCCCGCCCCCGCCGGACCTCACTGCCGCCAGACCTTCTTTAATCTCTGCTGCTTTGTGGCAAAGTGAAAAGGAAAGCACTCGACTCCTTGTGCCCCATAGTCCTGAGGCACTGCAGAGGTGGGGGCGGGGGGGGCGGGGGGGGGAGGGGGAGAGCGTGGGGGGAGGGAGGCATCATGGCCTGTGGGGAGGTGGGGGTGGGTACACTGTGGCAGTGATTCCTGATGGGGCTACCCCAGTGTTACAGCAGTTAAAAATAAATTAAGTTTCAAAAAGCCGTCTTCTAGATGCTGCTTCTCTGTCCTGAGCTACGCACCTGCAGGCCTCCGTCTCCTCACTGCCGCTCCTGTTATTTCCAGGCTGGCCGACATAGTTATGTGTCTTTCAAGGCCAGTGATCTGTGGCTCCCTGTTGCCCTTCTTTTGGGTTTTCTCTGCATGACCTCCCTCCTCCCTGCCTCTCGCCAGGTCACCTCCCTAGTAAGCAGCCAGTGGCGGGTGGGGGGTGGGGGGATCAGATCCCTGACTTGTGGCCAGGGTCTCCCCCACCCAGTGAGTTCATGGAAGGAGCAGTGGAAGCTGAGGGGCTGCCCCTGATGGTGATCACAGTGACTCAGAGCCAGAGTGGGCGTTTCCTGACGCTGGAAGGAAGAACGTGATAAACTCTTTGGCCAAGTCTCAACTGGCCAGGAAGCACGTCAGGGATCATTTCTAACCCCCGGGAAGAAGTTTATAATAATTGAATCATGGTATTTGTCACACTGGTCATTTAGAAGATCATGTTTACTGGTGTCTTGACTGAAGAATCTTTTCAGTGATGATGATGCGCAGGATTCAGTCTAGAAAGTGTCCAGTAGTTTCCATGTTACTCATTTCCCAGTTGAAAAACATCTGTTTTCCTTGGAGGGAGGGTGGACAGGGAGAAATACTCAGAGACATTGATTCTAGTAAGAACAGTAGTATTCTGTTCTACTAGAACAGAAGAATGTTCTAGTTCTTCCCCACACCCCACCTATGAGCCATAGGAAAGAACAAGGTGTATGGTGTGTCAGGAAGCAACTGGCATCTGGTAGGCCTCTACCGGGGCGCTAAGTTGCAACTAAAACCACGTGTAAGACGTAACAAAACCCCTTTCCTCACTGCCTCACTAACCACCTTAATGGGTGGCTCCATCATAGCCAGCGCTTTGCACTACTAGAGGACTTGGGTTGCACCAGTGTCGATTTTTATCGAGGAGGTCAAGGTCAGACTGTTTTCATAGAGCAATGATTGTAATCCAGACTCTCGCTGTCAGAAGGGGCCTTCAACAGAATTCTAGCCTCACCTTAGACACCAGCCAGGCGCGAGGCGTGTGTTTGGAAGCTCATGTGTGGCATTTCCGGCAGAAATTCAAAGATGGTGCTGGGGATGCTATTCTTCTCTGCTCCGTCTGTCTTGGGCCAAAGACACATTCTGTTTTTGTTGGGTACAGTGAGCGTGTCAGTGAGTCTTTGGCCTGGGGTGGTCCCAGCTTGCTGGAGACAAGAATGTGATGGCCTGTCCGACGTGGCCTTCCCCGAACGGGAACAGAGGCCAACACGGTGGCACCACTTTGCCCTCATCACTCACAGCCTTTCATAGCCTGGCAGGGCACTCTCTGTGCCTAGTCAGCTTTGCCCTGAGCTGTTTCTGTTTCCTGCCTGCATCTCCGGGGCCTGGCGACTCCCAGCAAGCTCTTTCTTTATGACACGCTCCAGGAGGGCCCCGGCAGGGCGGTCCAGGGCCTGGCACGAGGGAGAGGGGTAACGGGAGACACCCACACCCTGTGCCCTGTCTGTTGGTCTCTGGTGTTTGCTGCTTGTCGGACCTTTGTTTTCCCCCTTTCTCCCTCCCTTTACAAAAGTGCCCGTGAGGGCGACTGCCTCCATTTTTAGCCACGTCCCAGTCTGTCTTGTTAATGAGTCTGCTCAGGAAGATGAGTGACGTCTGGTCCAGCTGATTGGCATCTTTAAAGTATGATCCCATGCACGCAGCTGTAGTGTAAACAGGAGCAGTTGTGGAGAAAGGTCTATTAATAAAGGTGTGAGTTCTGGGACGTTCCAGAGAAACAATTCCCAGCCACCCTAAACATTACAGATTTAAGACTGAAGAAGACCGCTGTCTGTCCTCGCTGTTTACTTTGACAGTTTTCAAAGTCGGACATTTGAGGATTCCCAAGTAGGGAAAAAGAGGCGTGCTGGCCTCTGGCATGCACGGCCCTGCTGCGGCCCGGGCAGCGCAGCCCCGCTCGGCGCCCTGCCTTCTTCGTAATTGAAAGGCCCGAAACCCGACTTCTCGGCAGAGAACTAATACGCAAATAAATTAGAGGCTCTTCTTTATGGTTTATTGATGCTGTTTTGACCGAGTAGAAAGATCAGTTACCCATAAAAGCTCAAATATAAGGTTGTTTTTCTTTTTTTTAAAAAAGCCATTGGCCATTTGCAAGAAGCGTTAGGAGATAAAAGGAGGAACGGAGCTAATACCATAATCTAATATTTAGATAAAAACCCAAGCAAAACAATCAGATTTATGATGTTTTTCTGTAGCTGTTTTCCTTGGCACATAACACCGGCAAGCTTGCTTGTTCCTTTCCTTAGAGTTAGGTTCAAAAGAAGAACCAGAGCTTTGTCGTGTTACATGCATCTTTCTCATTAGCTGGAAACAAAACATTTCAATAATGAGGGCCAAGGGTCTTTGCAAATCATAGCGGTGACACAGTCTTCCTGGTTCTACACAAATCTTGGTTCTAGTTGACAAGTGTAATGGTTTAGGGGAAATATGACTATGTGAGGATCTCAGAATAGTCCCCACCCCCCTGTGCCACCTACACACACCCCAGCTCTGCGTGGGGTGTGACTTGATCCAGGCGGTGGCTACGAGCTTGGCCTGTTCTCTTGCACCCTGGAAGGGTTTCCAGTGCAGTTCTGCAGCCGGCACTGGCTGGTTTTGGTCAGCAATCCACAGGAGATGTGGCACCCCAAGGGCGGTGTCCTCACCCCACGGGTGCTGTCCTTATTTATTGCTGTCACAGTGTATTGCACAGATTCTCAAGGAGCATCCCTAAGTAAAAACAGATTAGACCTGTGGATTCTCCTGAACGGTAAGAGAATTTATAAAAACCCAGAAGGCAGTCATAGCACAATTGCCCCATCATAGAGCAGTATCAGCGCTGCTAGGAAGCTTGATTTTATCACATCCTGAGTCTAGAATTTAGATTTTTCTGACAGTATTGAGGTTTCTGTGGTTGATGCTTTTCTCCTTCCACGTTTTTAGCCCTGGATGATAGTAAAACCTTAATAGGATGGGATTTAAAACTTCCCCAACTCCTACCTTAGACATGCCAGGGGTCCTCAGAAGGGGGAACATGTGGCATGTCAGTGCCTAGCAGAATTGGGAGTGAAGTGGCAAGCCAGAGCAGCGGGCAGGTGCCAGGCATGCTCTGTCACTGGTCCTGGCACGGCTGGCTCTGTTGCAAAGACCCGTTTCATTGTCCAAGCAGAGATAGCGCGTGCCAGTCCCTCTGGCTCCACCCACCCTAGGACAAGGATAGATGGGGTGAGCCCAGAATGGCCACCCTCTTAGGAGCCCTGTGACCTTGGGCCAGTGGCCTAAGGGCAGAGTCTCAGCTTATCAACAAAAAGAGGGGTGGGGCAGGGGTCAGCTTCTCTAAGGCTCTTCTCTGACACCAGAATTCCATGATGGAAGCGATCCCAGTGCATGCCTCGCTCAGTCTGCATCGGGGCTCAGATGTGCTGTCTTCTATCAACGAGAATTAGAGGACGACAACCCTCCCGGCCTGTCTCGGCGGCCTGCTAAGCGCTGCGTTTGCTCTGGGAGAGCCAGCCGTCAGAGCTGTCTGGTGGGGCATGCCGGGCCAGGCCGGGCCATGGCAGTTTCCGAACCTGCCCGTCCACTTAGCAGAGATGAATTCATTAGCATCACCTGCACGCAGTGCACCAGCATGGACGTCGCCGAGAATACAAAGTAACCCCAACCAGAGCTGCATCCTTGAGACAGGCCTCCCTGGATGCCTGGCTTTGCTCCTAGATGGAGAAGTAAGCAAAAGTGTCTTTCCTGGGGGCCAGAATAAGCCCTGTGCTTGGAGCGGGCCTGGAAGAGGACGTGGAGACCCCAGACTCTTCCTCTCGTCCGTGGACCCTCCGCTCTAAGACGGCCAGCGTTTGTTCTGGTTTGCCCTTCAGCTGGAGGGCTCAGCTCTAGAGGTACCAATGTGTCTTGCTGGCGTTCCTGGAAACTTACCTGTAATTACACGTAAAGTGATTTTCAAAAATGGAGTGAATCATAATTCATACCTTAAGGTTAAGAGAATGCCCCCCTCAACCTCCCAGAAACCTCTGGTGAATCCTTGAAAAAGAAATAATGATTTTCATAGTGAGAAAATAAAAACTTGATTGATCTGAAGCTTTGAGATCTTTGTCCGGTTTTCTTCAAGTGGGATTCAGGCCATCTGGCGGTGGGCTCCCGCTGCTCCAGGGGGTGCTGTGCGTGGTCCGTGAGGGGGAGCCGACGTCCCGGGTTTTCAGTACCAGGCTAATTCCACGACACTGGCTTGACTGTGTATTGAATGTGGGGGTATGATGAATTTCCTTCTATTTTCTTCTCAAGCTTCTGTCCACTGCAACACAGAGCCTCTGCCTGTTTGGAGCAGGTGGAAGGGAACGCGGTGGACAGGCCGGTGGGGAACCGGTCGGTTTTCTGATCCCTGGACTCGAGCAGCAGACTCCTGCTTTTCTGTCATTTCCTCCCATATTGTTTCCTCCCAGTATGTGTTGTTCTTTATAATTTGAAGCATATTAAAGCAGATCGAATTTCGTCCTCAATCATTTGGACTTCTTTAAAGCAGATTCTGTCCAGGAGGAACAGCTTTGGGGAGACTCACTATCGGGGCGTTATTTCTCCACTTCATGATGATGAAGCCAGTGCCCCAAACTTTAGAGTTAGGAGGCTCCTTGGAGAAAATACAGCGCACGCTTTGTAGAGCAGGGGGCGAGACGGGAAGGTAGCGCTGCTGTCCCATGGAGCAGTGCGCCCAGAGCAGCACCCAGAACGCTCCCAAGGAGGATGCTTTCCGGCTCTGCCTCTGTCCGGGTCGGGGGCCTCTCCGGCGCGCTCTGCCAGTGCGTGTCTGTGCTGCCGCAACAGCAAGGCTCTAAAGCACTCAACAGGTCAAGGTTCTATGAATTCTAAATGGCACTTCCCCCAAATCATTATGAGTTGTTGGTATTTCCCTGGGCACAGAGCAATTAGTAGATGTCATTGATTAGAAAGCAGTATAGGTTGAGACCTGACATCAGAATTCTAGGTTAGTCATAGAAAGTCGAAGGTTTTGAAATTAATAGCAGCAAAATTGGGACTGAGAGAAGCGCTCACAGTCCAGGTACCCGGAGGAGCTGTCACTGTCGCCCAGCACGGTTTGCCAGGAATCCAGAGCCCAGCCCTGGCTGCCCAGGGGCACCTTCCCCACAGCTGGGGGGTGAGGGGGGTGAAAAGGCTCGGTGGTTTTCTCTCCCTCTCTCTTTTCATTCTTGCTGGAGAAGTGATCTTGGATAGAAGAAAAACACATTTGAACTTTGTTAAGTTGCCTTTTGAAATGGAGTTGTTTCCATGCCACACACACTTGGAGCAAAGTATGTTTATTGAAATATATTTTTATAGAAAATATTACAGAACCTGTAATTGAAAACTTATGGCAGCATTTTGGGGAGTGATATATTCTTAATGTTAATTTGCAGATTAGCTCTGAACTCCCTTCTGCTATTTTAGCACCTTAGGCTGAGTGAACATTTTCCAAGAGTCTTTTCAGATCTAAACTGTGTTTCATGGAATGGAGTGTTTGGTGCTTAAATAATATATAAATCCAGTTGGACAGGAGCTGCTGTCAGTTTTATTAACTTTGACCTTTTCTCCCATTATAAAGATGGTCCAGTAAATATTTAATGGACCCCTTATAGATCTTGACAGTTGGATCCTTGTTCCTGGAAACCGGGATATGTATATATGATGAACGAATGTTGCCTAATCGCTGTGAGTCAGCTTTCAAGCTGGTTTGGTTTTTGGGGTGAGGGGTCCTTCCATCTCCAGCGCTCTCAGAGGTACGGTGTGTGGGGGGAGAATCCAGGATGGGTGGGCTGAGAGTGCCCTCTAAGAGGGAGACAGCAGCGAGCACGCCTCTCTGCTGTCTTGTTTGTTTGAGCAAAGATCAAAGTGATGCCAGGTGGGCCAGATCACCCTGCCACTCTGCAGAGTTAGCAGGCCTCTTCCACTCGAGGAGTCAGCAGGCCTGGAATGGCTGAGCTTGCACGGACCCTGATACGAGACAGAGGAGAAGGAGAGCGGAAAGGAGAGCCATCCCGGAGCCAGGAGGGGCCCTGCCAAGCTGTCTTTCCCTTTCATTCCATAAAGCCCCGCGCATATTGCATTCATTGCAGATTCTGGTGGGGAGGATCGAAGCCCAAGTAGCTGACATTTTGAAACATTGTCTTTCAAACTTGTTCTGTCCCTTGCCTCCATTGATTTCCCATTTAAGAAATCTGTAGGAGAAAAACAAATTTGAGCAAAATTCATTGGTCTAAGATGAGTTGTTAGAGCCAAATTATGCCCCCCCCCCAGCCCCCAGAAGGGCTCCATTTTTATTCTGAGTGTGGTCTGTCTTTGCCC